CATTTATATGCAGTTGTACTTCGCAGCACTTCACTTGCAATTTGCAATTTCTAGTCTATAATAAATAGTGTAAAACAGTAAGTGCTTAGACCCATATATGTTCTATGGACAATAAATGGGCAATAAATTTGTTCATTTTTTAAATATGAATAAATATATATACGATTATTATTATTATTATTATTACTATTATTATTATTATTATTATTATTATTATTATTATTATTATTATTATTATTATAAATATGACGGCTGTTTAATTTTAATCATTGCAGGTCCAGTGGGAGAAACGGGACCGCAAGGTAAAGCGTATAATTTTTGTGCCAATAATTTAGTAATAATAAATAATAATAATAATTATTATTATTATTATTATTATTATTATTATTATTATTATTATTATTATTATTATTATTATTATTATTATTATTATTATTATTATTATTATCAGTATCTTCGCCAGGAGATATGTTTTCGTTTAATGATGTTTGCGTGTGTGTAACGCTTTGCTGTTTCAGTTTTTTTCTTGTGTTCGAAATATCTCAAAACGGCTGCACAGACATAATTGAGAACTAGACTTACTATGTCTGTTTTAACAACAAAATATAGGGCTTTTCCCCATCGAGAAATGAAGTTGAAATTGCAACAAAAAAAAGTCTCGAAAAGGTATGAAAAACACGGAAAACCAATATCATTTTAATGAAGTGGAAAAATAGAAGGGGCGGAAAAAAAACATTTCAATGGTAATAGCGAGTTTAACCTATCTGTAACTGGTTTAAGCGCTTTAGAAAACGTAAATTGCGCTCAAATAATTTAATCAACTGTCAACAAAAAATCTTTAAATGGTCCTCATATTCACACCCTACTGCAGATTGTCACCAAAATTGGATCATTTCTTCATTTCAACATGAAAAACTATTCTGCAAAGTGTCGTTTTCATCCGTCTATAACTGGGACATAATGACCCTCAAATTTACACCCTAACCTGGATCGTCCCCTTCACATACTAATACCTTCCTTGTAACTTGGTTTAAACTTTCCCGAAAGTTTTATTCGGATCAGTTGACCCGTTTTTGAAATATCTGGTCTGGGACGTTTGCCTTTAAATGGTCCTCATGTTCACACCCTACGCCGGATCATCACAAAAATTCAGTCATTTCTTTACTGGATCTTTACAAACTATTATAGAAAGTTACATTTACACCCATTGAAAATTATTTATAGATATATTATGTCTGGGATCTCAAATATTCAAATGACCCTCCAATGTTTAATTTTAATCATTACAGGGGAAAGAGGACCCCATGGAAAGAAAGGTATGGCGTACTTAAAATTTTGTGCCGATAATCTAGGGTGTTAAAATATTAAAACTAAAAAAGCAAGGAAATTTCTCTGGTAGAATGAAAAATCTACACAATCGGGAAACTCCGGGTTCCTGAATAAATTTGAAGATGTCATAACCAACCGGGCTACCTGTGTTTCGTTGTAAATTTCTAATTTAGCATTCGTTTAACAATAATTGAATTTTTTCAAACGAGATTCAACCACCGCTACTTGTGAGGCTTGAAAAGTGAAAAGCTACATTTGGAATACTAAATCTATATAAGCGATACTTCTATCAACGAGCGTATTATTGACAGAGGCCTTATATGTTGCAATACGTACACTTAGGCCTACTACATTGCTTAATGAATCTTACCAAAAGCAAGTTCTGATGCATTCTCGTCACGTACACTATTAGTTATTCTCCTCTCCTAGGTGAACAAGGAGTACAGGGACCGCCTGGCCAACCTGGACCAAAATATGTACCAGGTACCGTACTGTAACTGTGCTTTAATATTATCCGATTCTTGCTGTCATAACTGTGCGGAGTAAGTTGTTAATAGAGCTGTATGTCCTGAAGTGAAATGCAATGAAAGATTTTATTCAAAATTTAGAAATCTATCGATAAATTTCCATTGACTTAACGATTTTCAACTGAATTTACTAATAGGTCTACATACTAATAAAATGTGCCAAATAAAACGTAAACCTATATATAACTTATAAACTTGTATGAAGTTTTGATTGATCAAATAGGTGAAGAACAGATCTTGACGTCATGTGATGCCCTCAAAAAGGCCGGTGTTAAATTTAATGGTGTTTATAAGATTGATCCTGATGGTCCGAATACTGGATTGGATCCGTTCTCGGTTGTATGTGATATGACATCTGATTTGACACTGAGTACGTCATTTCTTACGTTTATTTTGAACGTACATTTAACTTTAGTCGACAAAGAAAAACCTTAAAATCAATTTATCAATCAATGTCACTTAGGCATTTTGAAGTTCGAAGTACTAGGCCTAGACACACCAGGCTGGTAGGCTGATATTTTTATTTTACAGTCATGATAAGTGAGAACCTCATGAATATAAATGGACTTTAATAGGCCTACATATCAATGAACTGTTACATTAATACTCATCCCTTAAATATTGCTGCTAAGTTCCAGCAAAACTACAGCTCACGTAAATGTACGTCTCTTGATGAATTGGCAGCTCAAAACCTCTGTAATTTAACAACTTTATACAATGACGATTATGGTATTAATATTATGAATTAATATTAATACCATAATCGTCATTGTATAAAGTTGTTAAATTATGGTATTAATATTAATATTATGAATTTAAAGCATTTATTTTCTTTAATTGTAGTAGGGCCTACCGGAAGTGCATGACATATAGAGAGAATAAAAATGTGACAGAACCATTCGCCGTCAGTCCATGAGCCAAATGGACCACATTTCTGTCGTGTCGATTACATTTCAACAACTTATCATTGGGAACAAAAGTACCGAACACGTTGTCTTACCATTCTGGAGTGTCAATCAAACTTAACCGACCAATCAGAACAGCGCTAGAATACGCACGCTTCTCACAAACACACGTGTTGTCCCACAAACGCACGTGTTCGTGTATACTTTAACACTGTCGTCTTGTTGGACCTTAGCAACAAATATCCATGGGGCGGGGCTTAGTGGAAAGGTCCATTTAACAAAATGGCCTTGGAGAGAGCATAGAATGCTTCCTTTTCTATTCAGGTTTCTACTTTTGTTAGGCCTATATTAAAATAACAATAATAGGCTTGAATAAGAAATTAGAATCTATAAGCGTTTAAGTCTGCATTCTTACAGTATATATCTAAAATGTTAACTATTTTTAAATCAAGGTTATACAACAATTCATCACAATAAGGAAGAAGAAGGAATCGTTAACAACGCCGAGGATTCGTTCTCCTTCATAGTTAATATCACCTACGACCTCACGCCAGAACAGATAGCAGCTATCAAAAGCGTGTCATCATCATGTAGACAATTTATTAAGGTTAGCATCTTGGTAGATTCGTTATTTTGATAAAAACTTAGTGTAAAACATTTTTATCAATTATTTCAGCGTTGCCTTGTCTTTTATAAGCCAACCACCCTGTCGTCTAACTCACCCATTCAGGCCCGTAGCTAGACACACTAATGCGGGAGTGTTTGGAACTGAACTGAATTGAACTTAACTGAACTTGTATTTTGTTTTGTTTTGTTTTTTTGTTTGTCTTTTTTTCAAACTAGGCCCCCTATCTTATTTTTACAGTACTAGTATAGGAAAAAAATCTGGAAATAATGACGTCAGGAGGAGTGGAATGTTAGAAGCAGTAATACATGCCAGATGTTTTTATAGACACCTTCTGTTCACCCCCAGCCTGGATGACACTTGCGTCTGAACCTTATGTGCAAAATAGAAATTAGGGACGTTTTGCAAAATGACCTCAAAAAAAAAAAAATTGAAATGTGTATATAATCGGGCAAAAAAGTACCAACAAAGATTTTTCTTTTTTAAATAATGGTATGTGAGGAGGAGATAAAATTCTGAAAATTGCTCTTCTGTCACATTATGTCCCGTTCATATGCAAATTAGCTAAAATATAGGTTTGTATTTGTATTCTTGTTTATTAACCCTCCTATTATTGGCGAGTTTATTTTGCTGTTGGTTGTGGTTTTAAATAAATAAATAAAAATAAAAATAATTTAGGGACAAAAGTATAGGGTTCGATATCTTTGTAACCAGTGGTCACAGAAACTTTGTTTTAAATAGTTCAGAATATGCATGTTTCTATGCTTTAATGCAACATTTGTTTCAAATTGACTGGAAATATCAGATTTGAACTATGACGCTATTTTTCCACGATTTCCATATCTCCAAAACTCCTGCTATAGAGAATTCATTTTGGTCTTAAATTGGTCGAATACATGTTTCTATTCACTGTAATACAACGAGGAGAATAAATTCTAAAAATCAAACCTCGGTCATGTCACGTTCATATGCAAATTAGCTAAAATATGCGAATTCGGGGTTAAATTATGAGTTTCTATCTTTGGAACAACTGGTTGCAGAAACCTGTTTAGAATTTTCATGTTGTATTTGTTTCAATGCTCCAGAAAATGACCCAACATCACATTTGAACTATGACATGTACTTCAGAATTTTCCTATCTTGGAGACTACTGTACATGAAGAATTGATTTTGGTCTCAAATTGTATAACAACTTTAAATACATTCACTATAACGAATAATTTTGTAAAAAGAGCCACTTGAGTTTTATTCTAGACCTTGGACCTAGCAGGTCACTTTGTATTTCCTTGTAACTTCTAAATGACGAATATAACCTGGTATTTGTATCCGAACAAATGTTTTATTTTAGGCTGTATTATGTTTCTATTTCCTCCAATGAAGGTATTTATGGGATAGAAGATCGGATTTAAAAACAGGTTAAATGCGTTGTTGCTTTAGTAATACATATTTTTTCCTTAGGTTTTAAATTTAATTCCTTTTATATATTTTTATAATGCTCTGTATATATACTGTCTCTTATACACATCTAGATGTGTATAAGAGACAGAATTGTAGTAGGGCCTACCGGAAGTGCATGACATATAGAGAGAATAAAAATGTGACAGAACCATTCGCCGTCAGTCCATGAGCCAAATGGACCACATTTCTGTCGTGTCGATTACATTTCAACAACTTTTCAATGTCACAAATTTTGATGTGTGACCCTAATCACAGGTATTAGTAGCTAAATTGGTATGGAGCATCTATTGATGACAATTGCAGATAAAAATACTTTTGAGAGAAATATGTCAAAATCGGAATTTGAACCCAGGACCTTCGGTTATCGTTCGGATACTCCACTTAGCTAAGAGGTCATGTGGTATAGAATCTTAAGTTTCCCCATTAGGAAAAGTTTTTCTTAAGGTATTTAATGTAATATTTGATAGTGTGAACCGAGCATTGCATGTGACCCACTTACTCTATCCACTGATCATAGATGTCTTATCATCATAAACATACGTTACTATGTTTTTATCAACTTGTTAGGTAGGCTTACTTTCAGTGGCGTAGCTAGGGGGTCAAGAGAGGGCACGTGCCCTGGGAGCCAGGTTTGTGGGGCGCTGAAATGGGAGAATAAGTGTAAAAAATAAGCACTTTTTGGAAAATCACGACGAAATTGATGTACAGTAATCAGTATGTCGCCAGGCATGAATTGTTTTCCAGTTAATGATAAGAATCTTAATGTAGTTGTTTTTATTGGAAAATTTATAGATTCTGATTTCTTTTTTTAGTCCATTTCGGCCGTTTTCTCTTGTTTTTTTATCCTATTCTGTAATGACTACATGACTAGAGCTCATCCTGCCATATCTCAAAGCCACGATGGGAAAAGCGAGACTATCTGCTTTGACACTGTAGCAGTTTCATACCACTATTATCAAACATGGTGTGTGTCTTTTTAGAGAATTTTCACTTAACTTTAATTATTTAACCATCTTTGTATATAAAGTACAACGACCTCATATATCTTCACATGGTAAGGTCGTTTAGACAACTACCTAAGACCCCCTTAAAGATAATAAATATAAGCAGTCTGCATTTTTTTTGGAATGTGGTCACTCCCTTGGCATAAAATAAGGCCACTGTAATTCTCAATTGCTATTGGTCATAGGGAGTGATTGGTGATGCCATATATATCACAACTATCTGAACCTTTGGTACTCAGTTGAATTACACCTTTTGATAAACAGTACGTCTTTATTGTTTCAACTTGTATATTCTTTATTGTTTGCCGATCTACACCTTAAGTGTTTTTTATCTACCATACGCTTTTCACTTGGAAATAAATTGTACAGTTTTATGTTATTAGTTTGTTGTTTATCTATCGTTACGTTTACAACTACTAAAACACTACTTAGACTGAGCGTGATGAAGTAGACAACATTGCTAACTTTGATCATGTTATTAACTTATTTACTGATTCAAAAGCACACGAAATTCAGTGGCAAGTTTAAACCATGTTAAAAATTCAGCAACTTACAAGACTCTACTATAAGTTAAATTTAGAGAATAAGAATACTAAGCTGTATGCAATAAATATAACAGCCTTACAAATTAGGATAATGGTAAAGTTGTATACAAAGTTCAGAACATCGTCATGCAGTTTCAATGTAAGAAACGGTGTGGCGCCAGGCCTCCTTCGGGGATATCTGTACCCCAACCCCGTCGGGGAGAAAAACCATAATTCGTTGGGGAGAAAACAAATATATATATTTATTTTGTACATATTAGTAGACTCTAAAATAGATTAAATAAGCCTTTGAAAGATTGTCAAAAATCTTAGGGGGCGTCACCCCCAGCCCACTTTCGGAAGATTTTAAGCGACGCTTGATCACGCCCACTTTGCTTTCGTCAAGGAAATTTCCCCCCGCGTCGGTGCATGGCCGCTTCCCCCTCCCCCCATCACGGACCTCGGACCCCTCTCGGGCAAATCCTTGCGGCACCCTTGGTAAGAAAGAACATAATATGAGAGCTAGAATAATAATAGCCTATTCGGGTTTAAATAATGTTATTTAGACAGTGCATGATATGGACCTACGGTACGGATATGCTTAAAGTATATACAACCAATATCAATTTATTTCAAAATATTATAATTGTAATTGGAGGGGGGGGGGGGTGAGGCGCAATTTTCTACTCTTTCCTCCGGGCGCCAAAACCTCTAGCTACGCCACTGCCTACTTTAGAACCCAAGTTTTCTGACTTTATAAATGATCCACACTTAGCCATATTTATATTATCTTAACTTGCCACGTCTTCTTTCTGATGTTTGGTTTTTTTCCCCATAGTAAATTCTAATATGTAATTTACCAGCTAAAACGACTGTTAGTACCAGCAAAGACACAACCTTTATCATATTACGTAATATGATATATGTATAGATATAGATATAGGTATAAATATAGATAGTGCATATAGGCAGTTTCACAGAAAATGGAAACGCCATCGTGACATTTTCGAGGAAAATAGAACACAGAAGATTTAGGCCAAACTGTGTGGAGCAAAAGATATATCAATGTTTTGAAAAAGGGTTGTGATAAGATAGTCAAATTGTATTTCAAAATACACATTTTTGTATTTTAATACCCAACAACAAATCATATTCCATTGAAACGGTCGAACATATTTTTGACATACTTTTGGATCAATGACCTTCAGTAATTGCTGCAATAAAATCCAACATTACAAATTTTTTAATGTATTTTCTTACTATGTATATTCACTAATTGGATAAACATTGAAAAATAAAACATAGATTTCCTTTTAGGAATATTGAGCCACTTTGAACTTTCTGATTTTTTTGACATACAAATCTTACAAGCATTATAAAAACCATCAAATTGCATATTTTTAAAATAAATAAATGCTTTCATTTTTCTTTCTAGTGTTTTATCTTATTAGTTTCTATTAGGCCTAATTACTTCTTATAGAAACATTATTGTCATGTCACACTTTTGAATAGTGTATTATGGCTAGAAAGTACGTCAATTTATCTCCTTTTGTTACTGCAAATTGTATGACATTGAAATTTTTTAAATAGGTATACTCATTTATATGATTTAATTATATACATGTAAAAATATTTCATTTTAAACATTGAATAGCATCTTTGGTCATACCACAAGATCAGTGGTTATATCTTGCTAACAAGTATTGTCTGAGGCGTGTCCATTATTAACTGTGAAATTGCCCATATACTATCTGAGTTTTTCTCACTTCACTGACTCGTCACTGATAAAGTTTTATAAGCTACGTAGTTTATGGAATATTACATAATTATTAATAATTTTTTCTAAATAGTTCTAATTTTCCCATTCTTTCATATCATATTCCATTTCCATTATATAAATTCGAAACCATTCATTTTCCTTCATTTCGTTTCTTTTTTTTTTATTCATTCATTTCTTTTCTTCATTTATATTTTTTTCATTTTTATTTCATTACATGTGAATGTTGGTGTAATAGGCCATAACCACGCCTACATATGAGTACATCACATATTTCTCACATAAAATTCTTCCAACAAGAATGAGGCTAGTCAGTTACGATAATGAATATGACAGGGAAGCGTTATATCACATTCGCAGCAAACCAGGCGCGGATACGGCACATAAATACACCATTGAGGCTAATAACAGGCCAATAAAATAATCAATTCTTTATCTTATCTATTTCACAGTATGCATGCGTTGGGTCTAAGTTTTTACAAGAAGGTCTGCATCATACTTGGGTCTCCGTTGGTGGCATTCCTATGATGAACTGGGGAGCTCCAACAGGAACTATAGGGTGTGCGTGCTCGATAACGAGTAAGTTCAAATCAACTTGTGTAGCCTGCATGGGCATTCTGTATCCAAACTGATATATCTCACTATTTACGATTGCAGTAAAATGACAAGTCGACTCTCCATCCATGACACTACGCTCAGATTATACCATAATCGGACCTTCACAAAGAATTTCGCTTGTGTCATAGAACAAGATACTTTACCTACTTTTGTTTCTCTCCACCCAGAAGTATTAGTGGGTACCTTAGGTACAAATACCCGTGCCGGGGCCAGTACGCTGATTAGGGAGTTTGTTTTCAATGCACGACGTTAACCTTAACTTTCACAGACGACCCGTTAGTTACGGGTATGCGCATGCGTATTTCGATTCGTTTACAAAAGGGGCGGAGCTATCGCGCTGCATGGGGGTACTAACGTGAAAGTTAATGTTAACGTCGTGCATCGAAAACTCCCTATTAACTGCTACAATTACGGTATGCAATAAACGCATACGGTACAGGTCATAACATAGTGCTTGTTATAAAGTTATCACTATTAATACCATCATTACTATCATGTCACCTTTACTATATTTATTAATAAACATATGCTCTATAGTCAGATTAAAAAAATAATTGTCAAAGTATATAAAGAATACATCCACTCCAATGCGAATGTACTGTCATCTAGAGTACAAATGTTATACAATTACCATTGTGCTTTACAGGCCGAAGATTTTCGCAAAGAATAGGTTTACCATTACCGATTTTGATGTTCGAAATATCAATTTTGAATTATTATATTTCAGGAACATGTGACGACCCCACTAGGCTATGTAATTGTGACGTCAACGATAGTGTGCCACGTCAGGATCATGGCTACCTTACCGATAAAGCAACATTACCTGTCTCGCAGCTTCGTTTTGGCGATACTGGATCTAAAGGAGAGAAAGGTGTCTACACTCTTGGACCATTGCAATGTACCTAAGTCGTACTCTACTAACAAAATACCAATAATGATGGTATTTCGAATAATAAATTACTAATTTTAATTACTGATGATACAGTAACTATCTTTTTGCATATGTGAAATTTGTACTTTTAATTGCGAAATACAACAAGTAATAAAGATCTAGAAGATATCTAGAACACAATATATTTATCATAATGTATCTTGCTGTCTCTTATACACATCTAAAGTTACACACAACATAGGTTTACGTCGATTGACCATGGATATGGACATGCGCAGTACATACACACAACATAGGTTTACGTCGATTGACCATGGATATGGACATGCGCAGTACATACACACAACATAGGTTTACGTCGATTGACCATGGATATGGACATGCGCAGTACATACACACAACATAGGTTTACGTCGATTGACCATGGATATGGACATGCGCAGTACATACACACAACATAGGTTTACGTCGATTGACCATGGATATGGACATGCGCAGTACATACACACAACATAGGTTTACGTCGATTGACCATGGATATGGACATGCGCAGTACATACACACAACATAGGTTTACGTCGATTGACCATGGATATGGACATGCGCAGTACATACACACAACATAGGTTTACGTCGATTGACCATGGATATGGACATGCGCAGTACATACACACAACACAGGTTTGCGTCGATTGACCATGGATATGGACATGCGCAGTACATACACACAACACAGGTTTACGTCGATTGACCATGGATATGGACATGCGCAGTACATACACACAACATAGGTTTACGTCGATTAACCATGGATATGGACATGCGCGTTCAAACTACGAATTGGCTTATTTCGTGAGGAAATGTTTTCTTCTTTATTGTATAGGCAAAAAAAAAAAAAATATTATACAATAGGAGCCAAGAAATAGACAAGTCTAATCGAGCTTGGCCCCTTTCTTAACTAGCCCCCTTAGCCCCAATAAATAAAATTGAATAAAATAAATATATAAATAAAATAATGAAAATAAATAAATAAATAAATGTTTAAGAATGAACTTCTAATTGTCAATTTATGCCAATTTTAAAAGCCTTATTTAAATATCGTTAATTTTAGTTATATATAGCTTAATTGTAAAATATTATTTATAGGCAGTTGTGATTGATCATAAAACATAAAACTGGTCATGTTATAACCATTTAGATACTATTACAGTATATTTATAATGTATGATGCTTTTCCTTCCCAAACATTTTTAGGGAAACTCAAGTTGTGATTTCCAAATCTAGCCGCGAGCGATGCTTAATAGTAGATTGAACATCGAATGCGTTAAAATCTACAGTGCTGTGTATACTGTAGCAATGGGGGCGGGGATCCCGCGTCCCCCGTCGGAGAGAATAACCACAATTTTTAGGGAGAATAAAATTAAACGTATTCATTAGATATTATTATGAAACTCTAAAATCGATTACACCTTTCAAATCCCTAAATTGTCATAGTTTCGTAAAGCTCACCACTTCCAAAAATGTTAAACGACGCCCGACAAACGCCCGCTTCACTCTCGTCAGGAATGTCACCCCTACCCTTTTCAGAGACTTAGATCCCCACCCTCGTTTGGCAAATCCTGGCACCACCCTTGTTTAAAAATGACATGTTCTAACGGTTTTTACCTTGATCTTCCTTAGTTTATTTTGTAAGCAGTAAATGAGAAAACTTTTAAAAATTGTAGCACTCTTGTTCTTTTCATGTTATTTTGATACAACTTATATTACATCCATTAAAGTATAACCTTATAAAACAAGTTAAGCCAGGTACCCACTGCACCATACGATCGTCAAGAGCGTAACGCCGACGCGCGTGCGACGGATCGTTGTTAATGGCGATCCGTTCAGAGTGCCACCGAAAATCAGCAGACGGCGCACAGTGGGCCAGGGCGAAATCAAAGTGTGCCAAAAGTCCATTTTGGTGACTATGGCTTTTAAACTTTTTCACATGATTGAAGATGGGTATACCCTGGTGAATCTATCCTGAAAATATTTTACATTTAAACGAATATTAAGGGTAGTATTTTTCAACAAATGTAGGAAATTTCTCTATAAATATTTCAAATGCTATAATTGACTATATTATACCAAAACACGTTTTTTTTTCTTACAGAAAATTCGGAATTACTTCAAAATGTACACGTTTCTTGTATATAAATTGGGGAACACAAATATATGTTTTGGTTTAAATTTGAAGTTTAACAAATAACAAATCGTTGTTTAAACGACAGAAAAAATATTTTAAAATCTATTTTTAGAATAGTAGGAGAGAAAGTTTAGATTCATGTGGATTCATGCTTTAATTTTTACATCACCATCTTCAGTATAGCCTTAGCTTTATGATGGTACCAAATTTAGCTGCTACTTTTTGCAACTTCGCGAGCTAGACGAGCTTTTATCAGTCTTGTTTTCGTACATTTGAGACACAATTTAATTAGAGCAAACCGCAAATCAGAGGGATGTACGCTCGTCTACTCAACCAGTTCATGCAAAGCGTGGAAAAAGCACTCCAAAAATTGACAAACTACTCCTGATTTAACAGTAGCAAATCTTCTAATATTTTGTTGCTGTTTAGAATACTTTATTAAATTTTGAGCAGTCTAATAATCCAAATATCATATATCATAATGAAGATGATATCTACAAGCAGGCCTATATCTAGGCGTCAACTGTTTTTAACTTTATTCAAAGACATCCAGACTTTGAAAGCTGCCTGTTTCAACTTAAGGAGAGGTAAGCTACTACGCGAGTAGTAACGACCTTCCCAGCAAACAATAATACGTTATGATAACGTGACAATAACGTTACAGTTTTGTGTTGAAAACTTTATTTTGTAGAACCATAAATACGTACTGAACATAATTTCACAACGTTTACACGTTCCTACAACGTTGTGTACAACGTTATTTTGTGACATACCTAACCACAACATTGACCAAGAACGTTATAAGAACGTAACGTGTTTGCCGTGTTTCTAAAGAAAATAACTCGTGGCTAGACAACAGGATTCCATTTTCTGATGAAGTTATTAATGTTTTGACACAAAACAGAGATATTCACACCAGCAGAAAACCCACAAGACTTAAAAACAACCCAAACCGGGACGTCCTACCGAAGTATGGAGGATCATTCCAGAGTTCGCACAAGGGTAAAGTACAAGAGATGTTGACATAATGTACGCACTGAACGTATTTATTCAGCATTGCAAGGGGCGTTCAAGAAGAATCGATTTTAGAGTCTACTAATATGTAGAAAATACATACACATTTTATTTCTCCCTGACGAATTGTAGTTTATCTCCCCAACGCCGGGGGTGGGGGAGCTCTCCTCGACGGGGACCCTTCCTTTCCCCTTCCCCTCCCCACCCCTGCTGGCGTCACCCTGAGGTGCAAACCGGAATCGTTCACGACAGATGACAGATGTAGCTCCATAGTAAAATGAGACTCCCCCTTACACCAAAATAAGAGTAGCAAAAAAACATTGCTATCCTGGTGGTACAGTATACCTGTCAAAGAGGACAGGAAAAGTTCCTCTTCAAAGCCTCCTCGTTCACACTGCACTGAGAATTATAAAAAGAAACATAAAACGACCATTATCGATACTTTTACAATATAGGCCTAATATGATTGAGGACGGAATTAATATATCATGACATCAAGTTGGTATAGGCCTAATGTCTGATAATTCCATGGAATCTCAGATGCAAACACATTTTACATTTAAAAAATGTAAAATTAGGTTGTCTGGTATTATAATGAATTTTGATTTCGACTTCGATTCCAATTTATATTAAAAAAAACATTTATATTCATTGTAAAATTAACAATAAAAATGTTAATGTTGGCCTATGCCTAAAACACTTTTGACACTGTCCAATTAGAAAAATGTATTTTGATGACATCATGGAAAATACAAAAAGTTTCCCACAGAGGTTTTTTGTCCCAAACCTCCTTAAACATTTCAAAAATCATTGCAATATCAACTTGTTTTGATATTACAATGAAAACTGACATCGCCCAATCAGAAAACAGTACAAAAATGACGTCATATAGATTTGAAAATGTTTTTATTGAATTCTACGGGTATAAAAACCTCTAGATAATTCTTGTATTCGCTTAGATTTGCTTCTGTATTGAGTAATTAATTTTGGCACACTTTGCCTTCAGTCTGGCCCACTGTGCGGCGGCGTCGCGTCGTGTAGCATTCACATGGAGATGAGTTGGATTCGTCGTACGACCGACGTAGTGAGTGTCCCGTTTATTTTTTTTTTTTATTTTATTTCAAACATCATCCAACAGCTAGGCCAGTAAAACAAATTAAACTGAAAATTTTAAACATTTTAAAGATAAGCCTATGTTGCATATAAAAACATTACAAAAAGGGACGGAAAAAACATGATATCGATTATATAAAAATATAATGAAAATACAGTACATAGTACACACAATTAGAATATTCAAAATTTAGAAATATCATTGCATAGTTTACATAAAAATTGTTCTCGCGCTGTTGTCAATACATTTAACAAAAGTCTTTCCTAATTAAAAAGATGACATTTTCATGCCTGCTTATCAAAAAGTTGTTCTATGGCTACAAAATGTTTTGACGATATGAGTGCAAATTTAGATTTAACGGCAATGAATTTTTAGGATAGGGCCTATTCGTTTTAGGTATTAGGCCTACTGTAAAAGAACATTGTTATTTTTAGAATAACTATAGTGGTGTTGGGATAAGCCTTATTCCAGGTCACCCATTTCAACTAATGTTATTGTAACACTCAAATAAGGAAGTGAAAAGATACGAGTGTTTCCGTAGGTACCAGCCAGAAACGTCCTCACCTACCTCAAACGCATAAATGCAATATAAGTCATTTGGAAACTAGCGCTCATTGAGATTGCATTGAAGTAGCCTAAGCATCAAATCATCTTCGTGTGTTCCATAGAAATGCTACACAATCGCTACAGCGTTTTCACTCAATCTGCAATCTTTGCTATGCGTACGGTAGCGGCTGTCTCGGACGCAATCGGGAAGTCTCGGGAACAATCAGGAACGCTGATTCAGCGTCGCCAAAGGATTTGGTGATAGCGTTTAGCGGTTTTTATGGAAACCAAGTTTAAACCCCGCCCCTTCAATATTGTCCCCGACGAGGGTCCTTTGACTCCTCGACCCCTACAGTGCCGCCTCTGTTAAAGCCTTGTTTTCTTAAAATCGCTACACAATCTACAGCGTTTTCACTTGCAAACCTTGCACTGCGTAGTTGTCCCCGACGCAATCCGGAACGCTCCCTGATTCAACTGACCAATCAGCGTCGCCAAAGGAGTCGGCGATAGCGTGCAGCGATTTTTATGGAGTGGAGTTGAATAGCTCAGTGGTTAAGATGCTTGTTTTCTGATCCAAATGTCCTGGGTTCAATTCCTGTCACTGCAGGACTTTTTCTCAGGACAAAACAACTTCACTGATAAAAGCATCACATTATTTCATTTATTTAAAGAGGGCCCCTGAATATCAGCCGCCCTTGTAAGATACGCTGGGAGTATCACCCTATATAAATATGGAAAACCAGGCTTAAGCCCCGCCCCTTTATTGTTGCTAAGTTCCAACAAAATGACAGCGTAAACACGCATAACTCCCGCGATGTTTTGAGACTTACCCCGGTATTCTTAAAACAAACTTAGTCGTAATTTGAGCTAAAACTTAAAAATTACGTCATTTCGTATTTAAATGACGCGAACCTCGACTAAAATGATACCTCCGGAGGCCGATTTTTTTAGTCAGCCTAGGGTCGGGCTAAATCGCCGACTTGAAATATTTACCCCACTAAAAACGTGTTTTTGTAACTCACGATAAAGTGAAACGAATAAAAACGATTGTATACGCAGGTTTGATATATCTTCGGTGTGTTAAACAATAGAGACATCAAGTTTAGCTTCCAAAAGGAGAAATTAACATGTTTTGTTCTAGCCACATGCGATAGTTCCTGATTTGCACGAAATCCCCTCGGGTTGCGATCATCTAGCTTCACCATAACAACAACAAAGATGGCGCCGCCCTCGCTCAGGCCATAGAAAGCAAATTTTCAGTGACTGTTTATCGTAATATGTTAACAACTAATATAGTTATTATTATAGAAAATTAATTAAGCGAATGATGGTCTATTATGAATTATGAGGAAATACGTTTTTGAACCACAAACGGCAGCTTAATATTCACCCGCGTTACCGGATCTCTAAAATTTCGTCTGCTGTTAAAGTTAGCCCTTTTCATTGGTTAGTTTGATAGTCGCGGCTTGCCAGTCGACTGCGGTTGAACTAAAACTAGGACTTGATTTAGTCGTAGTTAAAACTTCGACTACGTTGTTTGTGAATACTAATCGAAGTTAAAGTTGCAACTAAAGTTCGACTAAAGTTAGTTTTTAGAATACGGACGTAAGGCAATTCAAGACGGAAATTGTTGGCGTGTCGACGAATGGCTGTTTTGAGATGCTTAATTGTTGAAGATATGAGCTGAACATAAAATTCCTTCATTCCTGTTTTTATTTCAAACATCATCCAAAGGCCGTTTGTCAAAAGGCCTTGGTGGCAACGGGCCTAGGGTGGCAAAAGGCCGGGTGGCAACGGGCCGGGTGGCTAAAGGCCGGGTAGCAACGGGCCTAGGGTGGTAACGGGCCGGGTGGCAACGGGCCGCGTGTGGCAAAAGGCTGGGTGGCAAAAAGTCGGGTGACAACGGGCCGGGTGGCAACGGGCCCGGGTGGCAACGGGCTGGAACCTTTCTGGAGTGTCAATCAAACTTAACAAATGACTAATCAGAACAGCGCTAGAATACGCACGCGTGTTACAAACACACGTGTTGTCCCACAAACGCACGTGTTCGTGTATACTTTAACACACTGTCGTCTTGTGGGACCTTAGCAGCAAATATCCATGGGGCGGGGCTTAGTGGAAAAGTCCATTTAACAAAATGGCCTTGGAGAGAGCATAGAATGCTTCCTTTTCTATTCAGGTTTCTACTTTTGTTAGGCCTATGTTAAAATAAGAATGAATAGGCCTATATAGGAAATTAGAATCTATAAAGTTTTTAAGTCTGCCTTCTTACATTATATATCTTTGAAATTTAATTTAAGAACATTTATTAAAAACTATCATTCAAATCAAGGTTATACAACAATTCATCACAATAAGGAGGAAGATGGAGTCGTAAACAACGCGGAGGATTCGTTGTCCTTCATAGTTAATATCACCTACGACCTCACGTCAGAACAGATAGCAGCTATCAAAAACGTGTCATCATCGTGTAGACAATTTATTAAGGTTAGTATCTTCGTAGATATTCGTCATTTGGATAAAAATGTAGTGTAAAACATTTTGATCAATTATTTTAGCGTTGCCTTTTGTCTCCCCCATTCAGGCTCGTAGCTAGACTCATTAATGCGGATGGGGAGGGGGGCTGGGATTAACATTTTCAGTGTGGATCAAGTACAGAAGGGCCACACCTCAGTCCCACCATGTTTAGAACTGAACTGAACGTGGAGAAAAATGAGGTTTTTTCTTTTTTTTTTCTTCTTTTTAAAAATAGGCCCCTATCTTATTTTTACAGTACTAGTCTAGGAAAAAAATTCTGAAAAAAAAAAGGAGGAGTGGAATGTTAGAAGCAGTAATCCATGCCGGGTGTTTTTATTGACACCTTATGATCACCCAAGCCTGGATGACGCTTGTGTCAGAACCTTATATGCAAATAAAAATTAGAGACTTTGCAAAATGACCTCCAAAATATTTGAAATGTACATATAATCTGGCAACAAAGTGCCAACAAAGAATTTTCTTTCTAAATGATGGAATGTGAGGAGGAGATAAAATTCTGAAAATTGCTCTTCTGTCATATTATGTCCCTTTCATATGCAAATTAGCTAAAATATGCAATTTATGGATAAAAGTATAGGGTTCGATATCTTTGTAACCAATTGTCACAGAAACTTAGTTTTAAATAGTTCAGAATATGCATGTTTCTATGTTTTAATGCAACATTTGCTTCAAAATTGACCGGAAATATCAGATTAGAACTATGACCCTATTTTTGCAAGATTTCCATATCGTCAAAAATCCTACCATAGACAATTCATTTTGGTGTCAAATTGGTCGAATACATGTTTCTATTCACTGTAATACAACGAGAAAATTAAATTCTAAAAATCAAATCTCGGTCATATTGTCACGTTCAAATTAGCTAAAATATGCAAATTAGGAGTTTCGACCTTTGCAACAACTGGTTGCAGAAACCTGTTTAGAACTTTCATGTTTAATTTGTTGTCATGCTCCAGAAAATGACTTGAAACATCACATTTGAACTATGACATGTACTTCAGAATTTTCCTATCTTGGAGACCACTGTACAATACATGAAGAATTAATTTTCATCTCAAATTTTATAACAACTTTAAACATTCACTATAACGAATAATTTTGTGAAAAGAGTTTTATTCTTGACCTTTGACCTAGCAGGTCACATTGTATTTCTTTGTAACTTCTAAATGACTAATATAATCTGGTATTTGTATCCGAAAAAATGTGTTTTTTTTTAAATTTTGTATTATGTTTCTATATCCTCCAATGAAGGTATTTATTGGATAGAAGATCGGATTTAAAAACAGGTTAAATGCATTTTTGCTTTAGTAATACATATTTTACATATTTTGTTCTTTGTAACTTCTAAATGACTAATATAATCTGGTATTTGTATCCGAAAAAATATTTTTTTTTTTAAATTTTGTATTATGTTTCTATATCCTCCAATGAAGGTATTTATGGGATAGAAGATCGGATTTAAAAACAGGTTAAATGCATTTTTGCTTTAGTAATACATATTTTACATATTTTGTTCTTATATTTTAAATTTAATTCCTTTTATATACTTTTATAACGCTCTGTATGTATATATATATATATATATATATATATATATATATTGTGTGTGTGTCGGGAAGAACGTATATTGTATGCATGGTTATGTGTACTATGTGCAGTATATTATTTGTTTAGTTAAATTCTTTCATTGGTTTGCTTAAAGTTGTTATTTTCCTCTTTGTTTCTTTAGTTTAAGATTGACAGCACCACTTTCTTGTGTGCTGCCACTGTGGTAAATGGTAAAAGTGTAATGTCAAATAAGTATTATTATTATTATTATTATTAATATTATTATTATTAATATTATTATTATTATTATTATTATTATTATTATTATTATTATTATTATTATTATTATTATATCACAAAATACCAGAAACCCCTTTTCAAAAGCTCTTTCTATACTATCAAGTTTTAGGGTCACAAATTTTGATGTGTGACCCTAATCGCAGGTATTAGTAGCCAAATTGGTATGGAGCATCTATTGATGAAAATTACAGATAAAAATACTTTTGAGAAAAATATGTCAAAATCAGAATTTGAACCTAGGACCTTCTGATTATCGTTCGGATACTCCAGTTAGCTAAGAGGTCAAGTGGTATGAAATCTTAAGTTTCCCCATTAGGAAACGTTGTTCCTAAGGTATTTAATGTAATATATGATAGTGTGAACCGAGCATTGCAAATGACCCACTTACTCTACCACTGATCATAGATGTCTTATAATATCATCATAAACATACGTTACTATGTTGTTATCAACTTGTTAAGTAGGCCTACTTTCAGTGGCGTAGCAAGGGTGGGGGAGATCAAGGGAAGGCAGGTGCCCCGGGCGCCAGGTTTGTGTGGGCTCTGAAATGGGAGAATAAGAGCAAAAAATAAGCACTTTTTAGAAAAACACAAGGAAATTGATGTATGTCGTCAGGCATAAATATTTCCCAGTTAATAATAAGAATCTGAATTTAGTTGTTTTTATTGGTAAATTTATAGATTGTGATTTCTTTTCAGTTTATTTCGACCGTTTTCTTTTGTTTTTATCCTATTCTGTAATGACTACATCACTAAAGCTCATCCTGCCATATCTCAAAAGAAAAAAAGCGAGGCTATTTGCTTTGGCACTACTTAGTATTTAGCGTGATGAAGCAGACAACATTGCTAACTTTGATCATGTTATTAACTTATTTGCTGATCCAAAAGCACACGAAATCCAGTTGCAAGTTTAAACCATGTTAAAAATTGAGCAACTTACAAGACTCTACTATAAGATAAATTTAGAGAATAAGAATATTAAGCTGTATGCAATAAATACAACAGACTTACAAATTATGATAATGGTAAAATTGTATACAAAGTTCCGAACATCGTAATGCAGTTTCAATGTAAGAAACAGGGGTGGCGCCAGGCCCCTTCGGGTATAGCTGCGCCCCAAACACCATCCCCCAACCCCATTCCCCCCGTCGGGGAGAAAAACCATAATTCGTTGGGGAGAAAAAAAATTATGTTTATTTTGTACATAATAGTAGACTCTAAAATAGATTAAATAAGCCTTTGAAACATTGTCAAAAATTTTAGGGGGCGTCCCCCTCCCCCCCCCCCAGCCCACTTTCGGAAGATTTTAAGCAACGCTCGATCACGCCTACTTTGCTCTCGTCAAGGAAATCTTCCCCCTCGTCGAGGCTTACTTCACTCACTCGCCACTGAGGAAGTTTTATAAGTTACTTTCATATATCGTGTTCCATTTCCATTTTATAAATCCAAAACCATTAACTATTTTCCTACTTTTCGTTTCTTTTACTTTAATATTTTTTTCATTCATTCATTTTCTTTTCTTCATTTCTATATTTTTTTTTAATTTTTTATTTCATTACATGTGAATGTTGGTGTAATAGGCCATAACCACGCCTACATGGTTACATCACATATTTTTCACATAAAATTCTTTCAAGAATGGGGCTAGTCAGTTACGGTAATGAATATGACGGGGAAGTGTGATATCACATTCGCAGCAAACTAGGCGCGGATACGGCACATAAATACACCATTGAGGCTAATAACAGACCAATAAAATAATCAATTCTTTATTTTATCTATTTCACAGTATGCATGCATTGGGTCTCTTTTTGGAATTGAAGGTGTGAATCACTATTGGGTCTCAGTTGATGGCATTCCTATGTTGAACTGGGGAGGAGTTCCAACAGGAACTAGGGGGTGTGCGTGCTGGATGACGAGTAAGTTCAAATCAACTTGTGTAGCCTGCATGGGCATTCTGTATCCAAACTGATATATCTCACTATTTACGATTGCAGTAAAATGACAAGTCGACTCTCCATGCATGACACTACGCTCAGATTATACCATAATCGGACCTTCACAAAGAATTTCGCTTGTGTCATAGAACAAGATACTTTACCTACTTTTGTTTCTCTCCACCCAGAAGTATTAGTGGGTACCTTAGGTACAAATACCCGTGCCGTGGCCAGTACGCTGATTAGGGAGTTTTCAATGCACGACGTTAACCTTAACTTTCACAGACGACCCGTTAGTTACGGGTATGCGCATGCGTATTTCGATTCGTTTACAAAAGGGACGGAGCGCTGCATGGGGGTACTAACGTGAAAGTTAATGTTAACGTCGTGCATCGAAAACTCCCTATTAACTGCTACAATTACGGTATGCAATAAACGCATACGGTACAGGTCATAACATAGTGCTTGTTATAAAGTTATCACTATTAATACCATCATTATTATCATGTCACCTTTACTATATTTATTAATAAACATATGCTCTATAGTCAGATCAAAAAAAATAATTGTCAAAGTATATAAAGAATACATCCACTCCAATGCAAATGTACTGTCATCTAGAGTACAAAGGTTATACAATTACCATTGTGCTTTACAGGCCGAAGATTTTCGCAAAGAATAGGTTTACCATTACCGATTTTGATGTTCGAAATATCAATTTTGATTTATTATATTTCAGGAACATGTGACGACCCCAGTAGGCGATGTAATTGTGACGTCAACGATAATGTGCCACGTCAGGATCATGGCTACCTTGCCGATAAAGCAACTTTACCTGTCTCGCAGCTTCGTTTTGGCGATACTGGATCTAAAGGAGAGAAAGGTGTCTACACTCTTGGACCATTGCAATGTACCTAAGTCGTATTTTACTTTAAAAAAATACCAATAATGATTGTATTTAGATTAATCAATTACTAATTCTAATTACTGATTATAACTATCAATATCTTTTTTTATATGTGCGAAATACAACAATAGAAAACAGTAATACAATATCAATATGATATAATAATATGTCAACATTATTTTAAAGTAAGAGTGATAATGATCTAGAAGGTATCCTCTTATACACATCT